GGCACTCTACCCAGGGGGACAGCTTGAGGCTCTGTCTCAAAAAAAAAAAAAAGAATGTTAAAGCAAATGTTCCATGCAGGTAAGAAGAGTGTTTATTTTGCAACTATTGGATATAATGTTTTTTTACATATCTATTAGGTACATGAATGCAGTTTAAATCTGATGTCTCTTTATTGATATTGTCTGGGTGATCTGTCCATTGCCGAAAGTGGAATGTTGAAGTCTCCTACTGTTATTGTATTGTAGTCTCTCTCTCCCTTCAGATCTATTGATATTTACTTTTATACTTATTTAAGTGCTCCAATATTGGGAGCATACATATTTATAACTGTTACATATATTTACTGAATTGGCTCTTTTATCAATATATAATGACCTTTGTCTCATTGACAGGTTTGGATTTAAAATCTATTTTATCTGGTATAAGTATAGCTACTTCTTTTCTCTTTGGTTTCTATTTGCATGGAATGTTTTTTTCCATCCCTTTACTTTCATTCTATGTGTGCCTTTAGAGGTGAAAGGAATCATTTTGTTTTGACAGTATGTTTTGATTTTCTGCTGTTTATTTTTAGTGTATCTACTATAGGGTTTATATGTTGTGATTACCAAGAGGCTTATAAAAACCATAGCTATAACAGCTTTTTAAAGCTGATAACGAATTTACTTTGATTATAAGAGGAAAAAAACTACACTTTGGTAACTCCACTCCCCTTCCCTATTTTTGGTGTCACAGCTTACATCTTTTTATGTTGCACATACCTTGACAAATTATTTTAGTCATTATTACAGTATTATTCTGAATTTGCCTGTGTACTTACTTTTACAAATCAGTTTTATTCTTTAGGATGTTCTTGTGTTGCTCATTAGCATTCTTTTCTTTCAGCTTGAAGACTTCCCTTAGCATTTCTTGTAAAACAGGTCTGGTGATGATGAACTCTCTCAGTTTTTATCTTCCTTTCATTCCTTTTTTCCCTTTTCTTCTTCTTCCTCTTCCTCCTCTGCCTTCTCCTCCTCTTCTTTTTTCTCTAGCCAAGTGACCTGGATGAAATTACTTAGCCTTTCTAAATGTTTTCTTCTAATATAATAATGCCTATCTTGGCTGGGCAAGGTGGCTCGTGCCTGTAATCCTAGCACTTTGTGAGGTAGAGGCAAGAGGATTGGTTGAGGCCAGCAGTTCAAGACTAGCCTGAGCAAGAGGAGACCTACAAAAATTAAAAAATATAGAAGAACTAGCTGGACTTGGTGGTGTGTGCCTATAGTCCCTAGCTACTTGAGAGACTGAGATAAGAGGATTGCTTGGGCCCAAGAGTTATAGGTTGCAGTGAGTAATATGACACCACTGTCCTCTAGCGCAGGCAATAGTGTGAGACCCTGCATGAAAAAGAAAATAAAAATATGGTGACACTTGTGGCTCAAAAGGATAGGGCGCTAGTCCCATATGCCAGAAGTGGCGGGTTCAAACCCAGCCCTGGCCAAAAACTGCAAAAAAAATGAAAATAAAAATAAAGAAAATAAAAATATTATCCATCTCATCATATTATTTTGAGTATTACATGAACAAATACATGTAAAACACTTTGCACATTATCTGGCACAGAAATAGTTGACATTTAGTAAATGTGTGATAATTATTAATTGTTGTGCTGATTGTTGTTTTACAATAAAATGAGTTGCCTTGTTATTGAATCTCTGCGTCACTCTGTTCACTTAGTGACTAGATATGTATCTTGCCTGGGGCAACAAAAGGTACTCATTTAAGATAGGAAATTATATTTGTCATTATCCTGTCCTCACCAAATCATCCTCCCCCAAATGTTTTCAAAGCCTGCCTTAAATACCACCTTTAAGACATCATTGCCAAAAGTAGCCTGTTCTTCAAATCCTTTCAAAATAATGTATAACATGCCACTTATTCATATTGCTCTTTATGGTAAACATTTCTGTTCATAAAATGGGGTCCTTAGATATTGACCTATTAAATGTGTGACACTTAATAAATTATCGATTCCTCCCTTCCTTAATTTTTTATTTGAACTTCATTACATTGACATTGAATATATATTGATAGTCTTTGAGTCTACAAGTGATCTGGTCACAGCAGGAATTTAAAAAGATTAGCATGACATTAAGTTGCAGGAGAGATTAGAGGAACAAAGCCTAAGCCAGCAGTTCTCAACCTGTGGGTGGAGCCCCACAGGGACTGTATTAAAGGGCTGCAGCATGAGGAAGGTTGAGAACCACTGGCGTAAGCACAAAGACAGAAGTTAATAAGCTTGTTCAAACATATTTCATTCAACACTTTCCAATTCCTATTTGGAAAAGAATCTGGTATAGGCTATATATCAGTTTTGTAGCTGGGTGTTCTGATAAACAGATGTGAATAAGGCTGTCGCAGTCTAGCAGTTTATAATTTCTCCAGGGGTATCAGAGAATTACTAATTGAGAAGCGTTTTGTGTTTTTTCTTTACACACATGCTCCCCTATCATCCCACAAATTTTTGCATGTATAGGATCAAAAGACACAATTGAATTTTATATTTTTAAACATGTGTATAAAATAATAAATCTAGGAACTTACTGAGAACTTTATTCCAGGTGCTCTTATGCTCATTACTTAATTTACTTTTTCACAGTAACTCTATGGGTAAATTATGTTGTTTCATTTAACAGAAAAAAGAATGAAACTTGGCAGTTAAATCATTACTCGTAAGAGGCAAAAAAATAAAAAGTAGGTTTTAAAACTTTAGTCTACTGAATGAAGGTTTAACATTTAATCCCCTACACTCCTGAAGTAGCTAACTGCCTGTGTCCATTTCTGGCACATGTTGACCTGATGGGAAAGTAAACCAAATGTAGTATCCACAGATTATCAGCATATATTCATTTTTGACTCAGTGTTTCTATTTCTATATATGCACACACTCCCTAACCTTTAGGAAAAAGGCAATCACCATTTAAATTCTAGTATTAGCCATGGGGAAGGAGGTTCTAGGTTTATAGATTATCTAGGGATCTTGTAAAATGAAGATTCTTTTTCAGTAGGATTGGGGCGGGGCCTAGAAATCTGCACGTCTAACTATCCAGGTGGTGCTCACACTGCTGGGCTTGCATACTCCACCTTTGTAGTACAAGTGCAGAATTTTCAGTTTTTCCCAAATACATAATTATTTCTGTAAAGCTGAAATTACAGTATACAGTTTACATACTGTTTGTGTTCTGTACTTTTTTACATTTAGCCTTTATCCCTATTTTCTGCATAATTTTCATAATTATGATTTATGTAAACTGTAGTTAATATGTACATATAATATTATTAGGACTATCCATCTATTCTCAGTCGTTTATCCATTCTAGGTAATGCTACATTGAATACCTCTGGGCATATAGTTTTTTGCTATTTAATTATTTCCTTAAGGTAAATTCCCATGAGTAATTAATTATTAGGTCAAGGAGTAAGAATATCTTTATTGTTTAATGGATACAATTTGGCAAGATGAAAAAAAGAGCTCTGGAGATGGACAGTGGTAATGATTGCACACAATATGAATGTACTTGATGCCACTGAAATGTACATTTAGAAATCTGAAGATTAAAACATTTATTAAGTAAAAAGAATAGAAGGCTATACATTCCCTCAAACAAAAGAATATCATTCTTTTGAAGAGAATAGTAGCATAGTAAACTATTAGGCCTTTTATAACCAAATTATAGTGCCACCAACGTATTTATCTCACTTGTACCAAGATTGAATGGCTTACATTTCTTAAAGTTTTTACTAAATGGTGAAACTCTTCAAAGTTGTCTTAATCCATATTTTTATTTCCACTAGGATTGAAATGTAAATAATTGCCCTTTGATTTTTTTTCTATTTGTATTAATTTTTATGTGAAATGTATATTCATGTTATTGGCTCTTGTTTCTATTAAGACACTGAACATTCTCCTTAAATTTAAAAGATCTCTATTTATAGTAAAATATTTGAAGTAAGTATTTGTCCTAGTCTTTGTTGTGTTTTTAATTCAGAATTAAGAAATTAGTAACTTTATGATTTTAATCCCACAGGTCAACTATGGAAAAGTTTATAATGACAGCAGGAAAGGATTGAAATTCACTGTCTCCTGTGGCTGCAGTTCAGAATTTGTTTTTATACCATATGGTAGCACCATTGCTGTTTATACAGTTTACTCGGGAGAACAGATAACTATGCTTAAGGGACATTATAAAAGTGTTGACTGCTGCGTATTTCAATCTAATTTCCAGGTAAGAGTGATGCTTAAGGGAATTTAAAATGTCAAGTAGCTAGCTTGCCAGACTAGTTTTATATAAGACTAGATTATGATTTCATTCTGAGGAGTTATACTTTTAATCCACATTTGAGCTATGATTTATTCACTGGAGGATAATGCTGCCTAGGTTCTTAAATGCCATAGGGTATATGAATGAGTCAACACAATACTGTGCGACTTCACTGGAAGAAACTTTCTTTTGCATATGGACTCTATTTATCTAGCAGTTGAAAATCTGTGGTGCATTCAAATAATTTCTTGGCAAACAATCTTTTGGTTAAAAGTGAAATGTAAGTGTTTAATCTCAAAATTGTGTTTGTGTGTCTTGGTTCATATATGTGTGGGTGTTATATAAAATTTTGTTTATTTCTTCCTTATTTTCTGTCAATGGCTAACAAGGGTATGCTTTTGAAGTTAATACACAGACAATTTTTCAAATACCTATGACTTTGTTTGTTTAACATCCTCACCCTTCTCTTCCATGTTACCCATGGAACAGTTGGTTCCCCTTGCCCCCACCCCTGGAGAGATCTATGCACAAATTGTCTCATATGCTCCTTTAAATGAGTCTAATACAGCAAGATGGTTGGTATTTTGCCTGTTTTTTATTTTTTATTTTTATTTTTTAGAGACAGAGTCTCACTTTGTCACCCTTGTTAGAGTGCCATAGCATCACAGCTCACAGCAACCTCCAGCTCTTAGGCTTGGGTGATTCTCTTGTCTCAGCCTCCAGAGTAGCTGGGATCACAGGTGCCCGCTACAATGCCTGGCTATTTTTTTGTTAGAGTTTGGCTGGGGCTGTTGCCCTACTCACCGAGCCACAGGCGCCACCCTTTGCCTGTTGTTTAGATAAGGAAAATGAAGCTTATAAAAGTTAAATACTGACAGAATGAAAATTATAGCTAATTAGAGATTTAAGGGACTTTAATGATCATTAATGAAGCTCCCATTAATTTATTTGTTAATACTGATTACCTAATTTGTGCCCAACACTGTGCTATAAGACATATAGGCCTGATTTTTTCGACAATACATACCAATATGGCGATATCCATGACTAAAATATTCAGATACTTAGAACACTTATCGTGCTGGTTGGTAAACAGCTGCCACACCAAGCCTCTCAACTGATTTCCAGCCTTAACCCCTTCCCTGGGATCTCTTATATTTCATCTTAACCCATCCACTAAAGGGGACTTTGGGGATCCTGCTGTAGCTCTATGGTCAGTATCTCTCCTGATTAGTCCGTATCCTACTGTACAAGATGTTAAACATTTTTCATGTTTCTTTGGAGAGAAAAAAGCCAAAGCAATAGAGGTGACCTGACTTGCTTCATTTAATCTGCAGAGAGTTATTTACAAAGCACAATTCTCTATTCAAAGAAATCCCTGCATAACTTCCTTCTTTTCTTGTCCAAAGTCACTTAGAGACGCAGCTAAGATGTTAACCCAAGTATTTTGACTACACATTATTGCTTCCTACCAAATTGGAACTTCCTAATACGTCTGCCTACAATGGATTGAAATTGTGCCAAGATACTAATTTTTCTCAGTCCCTAGAATAGCTGAGATAGCCAGAGGCCTGGGGTCAGTTACTGACAACTGACAAATACCACTTTCGTATGTGCTATGAACTAGCAAAAATTTTAATCACATCAGAAAGCTCTTAACTTTTATCCCATTTTACTTGTTATGATTCTGAAAAGGAAAATAATTATAAATCTCAAAATGATAAAACTTTTGCTGTAAAACCTTTTTGCAAATTAAATATTACATTCAACTATTTGGAAGTAAAATATGGGAATTCTATCATAAATGTAAAAATCTGACAAGATATAATCAACATCAAAATAAATGATAGTAATAGATATTTCTTATTTATACTAGCATGAATTCATGCTAGTGTAAGTAAATTGATAAAAATTTAATGAAGAATGAGATATTTGTGTGGTCTCAAAGTATCACCCTACAAAATATTAAGTATAAAGGTAAAAACAGTGATCTTACTCTGACAAAGCCTGGCATATATCACCTAAATCAAATGATCAAAGTTAACAACCCATTTATGTGACATCGCTGCTGTGACATTCGTGGCAAAATTGAGTCACCCATATTTAATCATGACAAGCCAAATTTGGGAGATATTTTACAAAATAAGTGGTGGCGTCTTCAAAATTGTCAAAGTCTGGAAAACCAAAGAAAGACTGAAGAACCATTTCAGATTGAAAACTAAAAAGACATGACAAAGTATATAGTGCTTGATTTTTTTTTTTTTTTTGAGACAGAGCCTCAAGCTGTCCCCCTGGGTAGAGTGCTGTGGCATTACAGCTCACAGCAACCTCCAACTCCTGGGCTCAAGCGAGTCTCCTGCCTCCGCCTCCCAAGTAGCTGGGACCACAGGCGCCCGCCACAACGCCCGGCCATTTTTTGGTTGCAGCCATCATTGTTGTTTGGCAGGCCCAGGCTGGGGATACGAACCCACCACCTTAGGTGTACGTGGCTGGCGCCTTAGCCTGTTGAGCTATAGGCGCCGAGCCTAGTGCTTGATTTTTAACTGGACTCTTTGTACAAAGAACAGCATTGAGACAATTGGTGAAACTGGAATGGGGTCGAAGAATTAGAAGAGACAGTGGTAATAATGTGACTTTTCTGATTTTGTTGGTTACATTGTAATTATATAGAAAAGTGCCCTTGTTTGTAGGAAGTATACACTGAGTTATTCAAAAGTGACAATGGCCTCATGTTGGCAACTTAGGAAGGAGAAAAATTCTGTTTTCCTGCACTTGTAACTTAAGTTTTGAAACTATTTTGTAAGAAAATCTAATTCCTGAAGTGAACCCCTACAGCTACCTCAAATGTGTCATATCTTCTTAATTCAAAAACCTCTAAGTATTCTTTATTAGTCATTCAAATTTAAGTGCTGCCTTTTGAAATCCTTGTTGAACATCCACAAAATATCCTTTAACACTCATTGTGTTAGCATTTATCATGAATTGACTTATAAGCTTATCTCACCAAGTTATCTCAGATATATCTCTTGCTTTCTCAGGGAAACTAGTCGAGGGCAATAAACACCTGAACATGTTTTTGCATCATCCATAGTTAGTGTAACCATATATTCTAGATTTTGTAATACAATCAGTAAAATTTTATTTTACTTAGGAAATTTGATAATGTGTATCTAATTTAGTTTAATTTTTATTAATTTAACTTTATATTTTCTCTTTCCCCAACCCTGACTTAAATAAACAATACTAATTTTGCCATGCCTTAAAATGTTTTTGATATGTACAATAGTAAAAATAAATAATCACATAGCAGAACAGAGATAAAAAGTGTATATTAGATATAATGGTCAGAAATACAGAAATATATTTGTGAGGAAAAAAGTCATTTAGGGTTTTTATAACCACTTAACAGTTTAGTTTTAGCCCTTTTTTCATTTGCACAATAATTTATTATTACCATCTTTATCGACCTACTGTATTGCCCTGTTTGATATTGTTTTTTTCCCTTGACACTGGGGATTTGGTTTATATTGTTTTCTTTTCTCTTGACATGAGTATTTTCATTAAGTATTGTCATACATTATGTGTCATTAAGTATTCTTCAAAACAATTTTAATGGCGATATAATGTTCCATTGTGTGACTACAGCATTAATTTATTAATAATCATTTTTCCATTATCGGATAGTTGTTTTTATTTTTGTTATATTACAATGAATTATATGTGTGACATCATAACATGTAGAAAAGCATACAAAAACTTTTGAGGCTCAGCGCCTGTGGCTCAAGCGGCTAAGGCGCCAGCCACATACACCTAAGGTGGTGGGTTTGAATCTCCAGCCCAGGCCCGCCAAACAACAATGATGGCTGCAACCAAATAATGGCCAGGCGTTGTGGCAGGTGCCTGTAGTCCCAGCTACTTGGGAGGCTGAGGCAGGAGACTCGCTTGAGCCCAGGAGTTGGAGGTTGCTGTGA